TACCCTGCCTTCTCTGTGAAGTCTGATGCTGCAAACTCCTTTCTCTTCTCACGCTCTGATTAACTCCCGGCCCCTCAGGCTCATCTTCATCAGTGACCCTTAGTATCTTCATTTCCCCAGCTGGTTATTTCAATCACGCTGAGTTCCTGGGGCCCTGCATGGACTTTCCCACTCATCCTTCTCGGCCACCCAGGGCGTTCTGTCCACACCTTGGATTGAATGCCTGCCTGCTCCTGGCAGTGGAGACCCCAGTCACTCTCCACAGCCCCAGCCCTCCCTCCTGAGCACCATCTGCTTCTGGTGAGGGCCTCAGGATGCTTCTGCTCCTGGCAGAAGGCAGAGTCAGTATTCAGAAATGACAAGGCAAGAGAGGAAGCATGAGAAAGAGACGGGGGAGGTGCCAGGCTCTTTTTAACAACCAGCTCTCATAAGAACTAACAGAGGAAGAAGGAACTCACTCCCCACCCAGGGAGGGCATTAATCTATTCATGAGGGCTCCACCCCCATGGCCCAAACACTTCCCATTAGGCCCCACCTCCAACCTTGTGATCAAATTTCAATCTGAATTTTGGGAGGGACAAACATCCAAACTATGGCATCATATAATTAAAATCATATGGTACACAGCCCTTTCAGACGGGATTATTTCACTTAGCATCTATGTTTTTTGTGGCTTAATAGCTCATTTCTTTTTATTGCTGAAAAACAAACCTTTGTACTGATGTGCTAGTTTGTTTATCCATTCATCTATTGACGAACCGTTTGGTCGTTTCCAGTTTTGAGCGATTATGAATGAATATGCTATAAACATTTGCATACAGGTTTTTGTGCAAACGTAAGTTTTCACATCAGCTGAGTAAATACTTAGGAGTGTGATTGCTGGATCATATGCTAAGACTATTGAGTGTTATCCATTTATAATTATTGTGATTACTGTCTTAGATTTACTTCTAACATCTTATTTTAGACTTTCTATGTCCTCCTCTTCTGTTTCTTTTTATTCTTCCTTCTGGTCTTCTTGTCAATTAACTGAAGCTTCTAATACACACTACTTTAAAAGTTATACAGTATATGTTTGTTTCTTTACCGTTACCTTGAATAAAATATTTTTAACATGCTTATCTTTGCCAACCTCTTGAACATTTTTAAGAGGTCTAAGAATGATGAACTCCAATTAAGCCCCCTTCAACTTGCATGCTATTTTGTCCTGTTTTTCAGTTGTATCTTGCTCTTAATGTCACAAATAAGACATTTTTGTATTGTTATGCAAAGTCAATGTTCACTGATATTTACTCACCCCTCCCCACCCTTTTTTGGAGATAGGGTTTTGTTCTGTCACCCAGGTTAGAGTGCAGTAGTGTGATGGTAGCTTACTGCAACCTCAAACTCCTGGGCTCAAGTGATCCTCCTGCCTCAGCCTCCCAAGTAGTGGGGACTACAAGCACACACCACCATACCTGGCTAATTTTTTCCATTTTTGTAGAGATGGGGTCTTGCTAGGTTGCCCAGGCTGGTCTTAAACTCCTGACTTCAAGTGATCCTCCCACCTTGGTCTCGCAAAGTGCTGAGATTACAGGTGTAAACAAACGTGTTCCTGCCACCCTCCCCGCTCTGTCACCATGCTTTCTTGAACCTCAGACCTTTCATCAATTCATCATCCTTCTGCACAAAGTAAATCCCTTAAATTTCCTTTTATGAGAGTCCATTAAATTTACCCATTCTGTCTGAAATGTCTCTTTCAACCTCATTCCTAAAATATAGCTTCAGTGGTTAGACATAATTTTTGGTTAATCGTTTTTTCCTTAGGCCATTGATGATACTATTCTACTATCTTCTGGCTTTTCTTGCTTCTGTTGGGAAGTCAGTAAGCCTAATTGTCGTTGTGTTGTACCTAATCTGACTGTCATCACTAAGTGCCTTTACAAATTTCCCTGATATTCTGCAGCTTCACTATGTGAATGGAAGTGTAGATTTATTTTATTTAGCTCACTTGGGATTTATACAGCTTCCTGAAAATGAGAATTGGTGTCTTTCATCAATTCTGGAAAATGTCTTTATCTTTTCAAATATTGCCTATTTCCAATTCCCTACTAAAATTCTAAGAGATATGTTAGACAATCTCAGTCTGTCCTCCACACCTTTTAATCTAACCTTTATATTCCACCCACTTGTCTCTCTGCGCTACCTATGGAGTAATTATTTGGCTCTACTTCCAAATTCATTAATTCTCTCTTCCATTGGTTATTTTTATAAGAGATTTATAAGGAACTCTTATTACCCTTTTATCTAACATATGAAATGTATCGTTTCATATTTTATATCTGAAAATTCTACTATCCTAAGTCATTGCAGGCCTGATTATACTGTTTTTTGTTGGCTTTGGTTCAGAATGCCTTATTGGTGACATCCTGTGATATTGTGGGTTTGTGATTTTTGACTATGAGCTCCTGTTCCTTGGAGTTTTATCTGCAGAGCGAGTTTCAGCTAAATTAAAGGTGTGCTCTAGTGTGGATATGTGGTCGCTTTGGCCATGAGCTCAGGGGTACTACCAACTTAAGGCCTCTTTAAGAACTTGGTTTGAGAGATTTTTAGACTTCATGTAGCTTGAGAATTCAAACTACAGACTTCCATGAGGGAAGGCTTGTAGCTGACATCTCAGGGACAAACAGGTTCTTTCCCAGCTAGTGCCAGTTTCCCCTAACATTGAAGACAGTCTTTGGGGATTCCTGCTGTTTGCAGGGGGATCTCCTGTTAAAATTCTCACCATAGGCACTCCCCAGGGTTGTCTCCTGTCATCTGTATGCCACGAGTCCCTTCTAACAGAAGCCCAGCATCACTAAGATTTGGTATGTGCCCCTAGGGAGAAACCAAGTTGAACACCCCCTTATCATTCTGGAGTTCTGCTTTCACTTTGTTTTTGGCCTCTCAGAATGCGTCCCTTCTCACCAGCTCAGTAGGACATCTAAAAATATTTTTGAAAAGTTTCATTCAACAGTTCAGGTTGTTATCAGGCAGGTTGTTCAAAGTATCTAGCCCTTCACACACTGGAAATGCAAGTCCAAAAGTCTGGTTCATGAAGCTACTGGAAGGCCACGATAGGAGTGGAGGCAGGGAATATAGACTACTCTTCTGTTTTGTCAAGTAACTTGAAAATGGGGAGTAGAAAGCTAGAATGGTTAAAGTTTTCTTTGACAGGTGGCTTTATCAGGAAATGCATCAGCTGCTACTAACAGACCAAGATGGAAGTTATTTCTCCCCCAATAAAGAAGTCCAGACAGGTCAGCCAAGAGCTGGGCTGTAGTGGCTCCACATGTCTTCAGGAATATTATCATTCTGCTTTGCCTCTACAAAGATACCTTCTGGCCCAAGTAGGCTTCAAGCACATCTACACTTCTGTCATGTCAGAAAGAAGGATGGGGGTTACGCTCACAAAGGGCACATGCCAGTTGTCTGTCCCTTCTAAGCAGCTTGCCCAGAACCGAACTCCCAGCCAACCATCCATCGCTCGAGGGAGCTTTTAGTTGGTCCCATTGCTGCTAGAGTAGAACTGGCAAATCCTGGATACTGGGTAGGCAGCCAGCAGTCTCTGCCATGGGACCCTAACGCTTTTATTGTCCGAGGGCCCCACCTCAAGGGAGAAACTGAAATCAAGATGGATGATTACTGGAGCAAAGAACATGGGAGAGAATGTGGTCGAAAGCAGAGAGGGAAAGGCAGCAGTTCTCCTACAAACCCCACAGAACTAGCACCTAGTGATAGAACTGACCAAGATTCTTTCAACCCTGTAACTAAAATTTCATGAAACACCCTTCGAGGTAAACCACTAGAGAGAGTATGTTTTTATCAGCAGCACAGTATGAAACATACTGATAAAACAGTATGTTTTACCAACAGCACATCTCATGTATGTAGAAAAGCAAAAATCACTAAGGCAGACGCCTCTGACAGATAAAAATGGGTGACAGCTGCTTAGCATTCTTTGAATTAGAGGAAAATTAAATTTTACAATATAATCAAAGAACTCCATGCTGATTCACATTTTTAAGTTTCTAACCAGCATTAAGTACTATATCACTCAACACAAATATTAGGAAATAATATTTCCTCTAATTTTTCTGTTATCAATGTCAATTTGACAAGAATGATGAAGCTAACAGGATTCTGGTTCACAAAACTACTTGATGTTTTTTATTTTTATTTTTTTTTCAGACAGAGTCTCACTCTGTTGCCCGGGCTAGAGTGCCGTGGCGTTAGCCTAGCTCACAGCAACCTCAAACTCCTGGGCTCAAGCGATCCTACTGCCTCAGCCTCCCGAGTAGCTGGGACTACAGGAATGCGCCACCATGCCCGGCTAATTTTTTCTATATATGTATTTTTAGTTGTCCAGATAATTTCTTTCTATTTTTAGTAGAGACGGGGTCTTGCTCTTGTCTCGAACTCCTGACCTTGAGCGATCCACCTGCCTCAGCCTCCCAGAGTGCTAGGATTACAGGCGTGAGCCACTGCGCCTGGCCTTGATGTTTTTTATTGACTGAGATACAGTTTATCTCTTTATATGTGTGCTTATATCTTTATTTCCAAAAAAGAATTTAATGTGGCCTTTTATAGTAATGAAAATAGCTGATACCTCGACAGTCTGAGATAAATATTAACTAGAAAAAACATTTAATCAAATATAGCAGTAAACTGGAATCTTTCCATTATTGTTTTGATAAGACAATGTTTGTTTCACAAAAATTACTATTTCTTCTAAATAGGATAAATACTAAGATTTTTTTCTCTAGAGATTGTTCCTATATGTTGAGAGTTGATAATCATATTGCTATCTTTATAAGATAAAAATAAACGATGAAACTATAAAGCTTAGTTTGCCATTTTCCACTGTACAATTTACTCACATTTACTTAAAACTCCATATTTCTTTTTATATAGTTATATGTCAAAAAATAGTGACTAGGTTTTATGGCTTACTTAAAATACAAGAGAGAAAAACGTAGACATTTGCCATACCAATGGCTGTTTTTAATTTTTTTTAAAGAAATGTTATAATTTAAAAAGAGTTCCAAGAAATTTAAGAGAATTCCCAGCAATAATCATTTCTAAAATGTACGAGATTTGAAACACAATTATAAAAGGCTAAAAACCCAAAGGATTCATTCTTACTTTTTCTTGTTTACAAAAATCCAGACAATTTGTCACATCAAGAAAGTTCGGCAAGCTGTGGCAGCTGCAGCCTTAGTCATCCTCAGAATCACTATCCCTCCTGAGGGGGACAGAGCACCGCACTGAGGACAGCAATGTGTCTTCAATCGGTTTCTTAGGATTCTCCTCCAGGTCTGTCTTGACTGCTCCAGACTCAGACAGTTTCCACTCCAGCTCTACAATGACAAAGAAAAAACATTATCACCTAGGGCACCATGGGCACTGCTGCCTGCACCCGTAGTCCATTCAGTCATGGTTCTTCTAAGCAGAAAATACGATTATCAACATGATGACAATTTGATTTTAGTACCATAATTTTAAGGTACCTAAAAGAAAGGGAAACAAATCAGACCTTTAAGAAGGAAAACACAAAATACTTTCAAACATGTTTTTAGAAGACGAGATCAAATGAGGTATTATAGAAACTTGAACCTATATGGAAATTAAAATACAATACAAAGAATAAACCTATCCTCTGATGACTGCAGTTTCCCAGGTTAGACAATTTCCCAGGCAAGAAATCAGCATGAAACATTTAAAGGAAATAATTTCTATAGGGCTGCTGGCAATCTAATCATTAAATCTAATATTAGTTAATAAAAGGAAATTTTTCAGCCTCAAGGCCAGTACCCCAATCTAGGGTCAAGGGATAAATGTATGATGATACCCTAGAATTGATAACATTTGTTCTAAGTAATAAAAAAAAATAAAATACCAGAAAGTAATGAATCAGTGACTAAAGACTCAGCTCCTATATCTCACTGAAATGCCACATGGTATGAGACCTTGTGAAGCAAAATTAAGTGATATATTTTTCCACTGCAGAGAAGAACCCAAGCTGAACTAAGGGACTACTCAAGGGATGCTAAAACAAATATCTTGGCTTAAAGGAAGATCAATGCAGAGATATTCTGCTTATTGGGTACTTCTATTCAACTCTGACAACCGATTTTATTGAAGTCATATTTTAACTGATTTTATTAAAGTACTCCATGAAACAGAGTAGAATGGTGCTACCAGGGATTGGGGGTAAATAGGAAGACATTGGTCAAAGGGTACGAACTTTTAGTTGTAAGATGGATAAGTTCTGGAGACCTAATGTACAGCATGGTGACTACAGTTAATAATTATGTATTGTATACTTGAAATTTGCTAGGAGAGTAGATCTTAAGTATTCTCATCACAAAAAGAAAAAGGATAACTTGTCAGGTAATGGATGTGGCAATTAGTTTGACTGTGGTGATCATTTCACATTATATATCAAATCATTATGTTATAAACCTTATATATACACATTTTTATCAATCACCTCAATAATGTTGGGGGGGAGTGCTCCATAGAGATGAATACACCACTATTTTTCAGCTCTAGGTACTTTGGTTCAATGTTATGCAAACTCAACACAAATTTCTTTAAAAAAAACCAAGAATTCTGATTCTTGACTCAAGAAAATGTTTATATACTATGTTTCTATATCCACACATATGTATATATGAGTATATATATTTAATGTTAATGTTCATTTACACACAGCATCATTTTATATAAGTTCCCTAGTCCTCAAATAAGACTTTTTCTAGAAATAAAGACTGTAAGTACGATTATACACCTATCTCCCTCCCCTCATGGTACATTCAAAAAAGGTCATAATAGGCAAATATATTTAGTTGGAAATGCAATATGCCCTTGAACATTGGAAAAATGTCTAACTGACGTATCTCCTATGTGTGTGTATGTTTATACTCATCCCAGTTGAATACCTTAGTGGTATAGTATTAAAGTCATGTTTAAAAATATGCTTTTGAACACTAGTAAAGCAAAATTGAATGTATTATTTCAGTAAAGAGATAAACAATTTTACTTGGGGCTGGACGCGGTGGCTCACGCCTGTAATCCTATCACTCTGGGAGGCCGAGGTGGGCGGATTGTTTGAGCTCAGGAGTTCGAGACCAGCCCAAGCAAGAGCGAGACCCCGTCTCTACTAAAAAT